TTGCATTGCTACTGAAATTTCTTGTATTATTAATAGTAGAGTCTGGGAAATGTTATTGATTCACATCAACACTGATTATAATGCATTGTTATTTTTGTGCAGGGAGAGTAAAAATAAACATCTCAGCTTGTTCGTGGCCATTTAGCCAAGAGGAACAATTTGGTGTATAGTGTATATTATTGACATTATTAAGGAGCTGATGTTGAAAAAAATATAAACCTCTGGGAAGTTTAAGTCCATTTGCATTAACAGAATGAAAATTGTTGACAAAAGAAAAGTGAAGTGGCCACAAATGGCCAGGATAGAGCCCAGAGGGTTACTTCAAGCTGTAAGCTAATGATAGTTATATAAGAGCAGATGCTGGTGCAATAAGCTCTACGTTTTATGTCTAATGGATGCATGATCTGATTAGTCGACTAATCACAAAAATAATCAGTGACTAGTCAACTATCAAAATAATCGTTTGTGGCAGCCCTACTTACAATTTGATTCAAGTTATAAAGAGGTTGGTTTAATAGTGATGTCCATCCATCCATCCATTCGCTTCCGCTTATCCTTTTCAGGGTCGCGGGGGGCGCTGGAGCCACAGAATCCCAGCTGTCATAAGGCGAGAGGCGGGGTAAAAGTGAATAATAAAAGTAAGGGACATTATTATTCTGCTCTTACATACAAATTAAAATACCACTGCTATGACTTACCAGGGGGTGGATGGGCTAATAAGAGAAGAGCGATCCAAGAGAATCACCTCAAGTCACACTTGGATCTGAGCTTTACACACACTCCCGCTAAGGTGCAGTTTAAAACACGAGAGCACACTGAAGAGGAGATCAAACAACCAGGGCCTATCCACACTCAGTTTCTGAATGGAAAACACAAAAGACATGATTTAAATCACCAAAAAAGAATAACAACTGAACTCTTACTGCATCAAATTCATCTGCTGAAACAGGCAGATGACCAGTGGCTGTAAAGAGTCTACTGTAAGTGATGTAATAAAGGTCAAAAGAAATTTACTAGTTAGTTATTCACAAGCAAAATGTACACAAAACAATAAAATAAGAACCAGTTTAAAATAAACAAAACCAAACTATGTGATTTGGTTTTGTTTATTTTGCAATTTACCTTAAAGAAACGGAAAACATTATGACACGATGACCTGGGTAACTGAGAACCTTTACAGACATTATGAGCAGTGTTGCACACATACATGCAGCTCAGATTGTTTTTGAAGAGCCTCTAAATGCAGTCAAGCTTTTTAGGGTCCCTAAGCGAGAAGTATGCAACGAAAAAAGCAGGGTAGAAACAATGCAATATAAGGAACAGCGCTAAATAAAATGATAGCTCATTATCGGCTTAAGGCAAAGCCTCCGAGGACATTCACAGGTCACATTTACTTTAGCCATGTAAACTGGGTTTGCACTCCCGTGCAGCCAGGCTACTCACGCTGTTTATGTGTAGTAACTACATAAACTGTAATCCACTACCAACAGTCAAGATCTTAAATCAAAATAACACCGCAATATTCAAAACAGAC